ACAAGTCTTAATACCTAATTTTAAATCAAGACAACGAAAATCGAAACTGTGTCCTATACAGAACCGTCATTTATCAGAAGGTGCCAAATCCTGACAATATGGTAAAGTGTCTTAGGATGCATAGTCTTCAAACTGAGAACGCATATTTTCTACGAAATTTCTCGAATATTCAGGTCGGTAAATGTGATTAATACTGTTTAATTAAAAAGAGAGCCTTTACTTAAATAAAGTGTATCTACTAAAAATAATGTATAAACAGAAAATATATTAAACAATTGTCGGACTTAATCTACTTCACAATATTTTGTCATTGTTTACATTAAGCTACGTCTCATGAGCAGATATGATCGTTCGGGAAAAATGAATTTAGACTTTGCTAACGTGACGCTTCTCTATAGCTGAGTGGTATAGCACGTCAGATCAAATGACGATACAGTATAGGACACAGGTTAGATTCCTGTCGGAGAACGCATATGTTCTACGAAATTCCTCGAACATTCAACCAGGTAAATATAATTAACACTGCTTAAGTAAAAACAGACCATTTACTTAAATAAATGTATCTATTAAAAAACATAAACAGAAATATATATATATATATATAAATATATATATATATATATATATATATATATATATATATATATATATATATGAAAGTTATGACATTTTGAAAAAGAATTGATTTCCTAATTTGAGGAACTTTTATTAAAAAATACTGAAGAATGGTTTAATTCAGTTTATTAAAAAAAATAAAAAAAAACAAATTAAAAAAATGCCATCCCCAACACGAAAATTTCTAAAATTGTGTATAAGTATGGTAGTACTACAATTTTTGGAGACATCTAGAACTTTCAAGAATATTCTAGATCGTCCTGGAGCCTTCTAGAATTTTATGGAGAATCCTAGAATTTGTTTTTGTTTATTTCTAATCTGTATGTTATGCAATAGCTATAAGCCGTTAAATAACTTAAAATTACGTAAGTACTATCCAATTACGTCATTAGGAATTTGAAAAATAAAGTTTCTGAAAAATTTACATTTATTCACCCTTAGCGTGTATATGGTAAAATCGAATTTTCGGTTTAGGAGAGCCGTTTTCTTAAACTAAAGCAAATACACGCCTTTTTCATTACTTTTGAACAAAAGTTGATCAATTTATAACACAGGAACATAGGGTTACTAAAAGTACCATATATATATATATATATATATATATATATATATATATATAATGATAAGACGGAGACTTTAATTATCCATTTCGTTTATAATTTTTATTTCGTGAACACCGAGATGTTCAACTCATCAGAACGAATTACCGATGAGGTTTCGTTCTAATGAATTGAACAAACCGGTGTGCCCGAAATAAAAATTATAAACGAAATGGATAATTAAGGTCTCCGTCTAAACATTATAATGCTCTGTCATCTGCATTGAGCTCTCCCTGGATTTATCGCAATTATCACTTTCAGTCATAAACTGCTTAAATGTATTATAATAATAATAATAATAATAATAATAATAATAATAATAATATATATATATGGATCGTAATTACGATTCCATGTAATAAATTATGGCCATGGAATATTAGTGTTTTAAGCCTTTTATATATATATATATATATATATATATATATATATATATATATGGGGGTACGAACTTAACAATTCATGAATGAAGATCTTTTTTTTTTCTGAAAGAATCTTTTTTGTTTGCTGAAAGATATTTCTTCGTATAATGCATCCAAAGGTAAAACCACAAACTTACGTGTAGACTTCGTAAAGGGTACACTTTGCTGTAAAATATATATATATATATATATATATATATATATATATATATATATATATATATATATATAACAAGAATAAGCTTGACTGTTATGAAGTGAAAGAAGAATTGAGATTGTGTATTGAGTGCAAATAAACCTGTCAATGATAAATTCGATGTAAATAATCTTCTTTAGTCTGTTGGCTTATTTCCCTCAGCCCAAAAGCACACACACACACACACACACACACACACACACACACACACACACACACACACACACACAGACAGACAGACAGACAGAGAGAGAGAGAAAAAACACAGACACACACATATGTATAAAAATGTCTTGTGCGTGATCAAGTTTTTACGTGTGTTGCTTCTGTGTGTGTCTGTGTGTCTGTGTGTGTCATTTATGCTTTTAAGAATTAGTTCAAATCTATCTGTCTAATTGTGTTCACATCTATCTCTCTCTTTCTATCTCTCTCTCTATCTCTGGCTCTCTATCTCTCTGTCTCTACACACACACGCGCGCACACACACACACACACACACACACACATATATATATATATATATATTGCATTTTAGAAAATCTATCTCATTCTGTTTGTATATCTATCTCATTCTGTTCGTATCTATCTATCTATCTATCTATCTCTCTCTCTCTCTCTATATATATATATCTATATATATATATATATATATATATATATATATATATATATATATATATATATATACATCAGTTGATATCTAATGGTCCATCCATTTCAGTAAGATCATTTCTATCAAACTAATTATAATTCTTCATAACTATTTCAATTTCTTCTTCCCCAAAGTTTTTAAATTTCAACAGTTGAAAACGTTCATGAAAATAGATTTGATTTAAAATATATTCGATAATGTATTTCGCCATGTAAGGCTTTCTCAGATCCGAAAACGAACAAAAGTGTATTTGTGTGTTTGCTTAAATAATGAATCTTAGTACTTTTTCCCTCAGCTGGCGTTTTTAGTGACTCGTGACTGAAGAGGAATGAAAATGACTGACTTTTAAAAAAGTCGTTGATTTTTTTTAATCTTTGTTTTTTAAATCTCAGTTAGAATCAAAAGTTAATGTATTTTCCAGTTAAGATTCATTATTTAGACATACACACAAATAGAAATATAAATACACACATTTCATTCTTTAATTTTCGGATCTGAAAAAGCCTTAAATGGCGAAATGCATTATCGAATATATTTTTTAAAATATCTATTTTCATGAACGTTTCAAATTGTCAATATATATATATATGACATTTTTTATGTTTATACATTCTTTCTATACATAAAAACATTTAAGTAAATTCTCTGTTTATAATAAACAGTATTAAACAATATTTACTGGCCTGAATGCCCGAGAAAATTTCACAGAGAATATTCGTCCTCCGACAGGATTCAAACCTGTATCTCATACGGATCCGTCATTTAGCTTGACGTGCCTTTAACCAATTTGGCCACAGAGGAGCGTTCGGTGAGCAAGGTCAAATTTGCTGTATTTGAACTTCAATCTTCCATAAATCTCTAACGTACATTCATATCAGCTCATGACGTATCAAATGTAAACAAATGACGTCACACATTATGAAATGGACAAAGTCCGACAATTATTTTATGACAATTTTATGTTTATACATTGTTTTTATAGATACAAGTATTTAAGTAAATGCTCTGTTTGTAATAAACAGTATTAAACAACATTCACCGGCCTGAATATATATTCGTCCATCGAGAATTTTTCTCGGACATTCAGACCGGTAAATGTTGTTTAATACTGTTTATCGGTTAAAGGCACGTCAAGCTAAATGAAGGTTACGTTAAGGATACAGGTTCGAATCTTGTCGGAGGACGAATATTTTCTATGAAAATTTCTCAGACATTCAGGCCGGTAAATATTGTTTAATACTGTTTATTATAAACAGAGCATTTACTTAAATATTTGTATCTATAAAAACAATGTATAAACAAAAAATGTCATAAAATAATTGTCGGACTTTGTCCATTTCATAATGTGTGACATCATATATATATATATATATATATTATAATTATTTTTTTTAAATATGATTCTATCGCTACATAAGAGTTTTCATGTTTCAAAAATAGAAGATAAAAAACCAGTTCTATTTCATTCTCAAGCGAAATTTGGAATAATTAATCTTGAAATTTACGGAGATTTTATACATAAACATCTGTGTATATATATATATATATATATATATATATATATATATATATATATACAAACACATTCACAAACACACACACAAGCACACATACACGCACACATACAAACACATACATATATATATATATATATATATATATATATATATATGAAATGAATTTTTGAAGTCAACACTAGATGCAACGTCGTGGCCTGACGATTGCATCTAGCACGAAAACAGACAGACTGTCGCCTAAGTGATGACTTCTATGTTCACTTTCATATTTACACACGCTCTATCTCTGATATTGAGCACTTTATCCCATAAATATAGCACATCTTAACACTATATATATATATATATATATATATATATATATATATGCATATGTATTTATCTATCACCTACTGTTCATATCTCTATTTCTATATAGTCCGTATCCGCTAATCTCTCTTTATATCTCTCTCTGTCTACATGTGTATTTGTGTTTGTAGGCGTGAGTCTGTGTTCGTGTGTATCTGATAGAGAGAGAGAGAGAGGGGGATAGACAGATAAATATATAACGACGTACATACACAAACACACACATATATATATCTATCTCATTTTGTTCATCATCTATGTATCTATGTAATTATTCTTTCATAGCTCTCTCTCTCTCTCTCTCTCTCTCTATATATATATATATATATATATATATATATATATATGTGTGTGTGTGTGTGTGTGTGTTTGTCTTTTGTGTGTGTGTGTGTGTATGTGTACACGCTCGCGCCTGTGTGCATATCATTACCTATCAGCGTTTAGCTGCTTATTTTGACGTCTGTATTCGTCGAATCCGAAGTCCAGCACAATTGTTCTTGTTCTCCCCCGTCTACCCCACCGCGTCCCAAATCCGATGAACTGAGCCGAGACGAAGCCCAATGCATAATTGCTCCGTTTATCTGCCGAGAATACAAAGATTGGACATCGATCTTTCAATTTGATTGATTCGAACCGGCCATAATCTGGTCCATGTCTTTCTTTCTTTCTTTCTTTCTTTCTTTCTTTCTTTCTTTCTTTCCAACTTTTATCTGTTTTAATTCATTTTCTATATTTCCTTAACAATTTTCTTTCCTTTCTTCTGCGACTTAGTTTCTTTTCTTAGACTTCTATCATTTTGTCACTCTATCTTTCTCTCTCCTCGTCCTCTCTCTCTCTCTCTGTATATATATATATATATATATATATATATATATATATATATATATATATATTATGAAATGGACAAAATCCGACAATTATTTAAAACATTTTTTAAAGAACGTATAAACATAAAATGTCTTAAATATATACATATATATACACGCATTGTCTTTCCTTTCTTTTATATATATATATATATATATATATATATATATATATATATATATATATAATATATATATAATCTCATTCGTTCCGATATATATATATATATATATATATATATGTATATATATATATATATGTGTGTGTGTGTGTGTGTGACTGTGTGTGTGCGTGTGTGTGAGTGCATATATTATTATTATTATTTTGCTTCTCTGTCTCGTAATTTCTTATATTTTCTTTCTCAGTTTCTTTTCGTTTAACTCAGTCATAATTTCGATAGTATTTCTTCTTAGCCTTCTTTATATTTCCTTTCTTTCGTTCTTTTTCTCTTTTCAACCCTAAATCTTGTAGACTTTTCTTCTTTCTTTCTTTCTTTCTTTCTTTCTTTCTTTCTTTCTTCCTTCCTTCTTTCTTTCTTTTTTTTCTTTCTTTCTTTTTTTCTTTTTTTTCTTTCTTTCATTTAACTCCCTTTCCTTCATTCCTTCTTTCTTCGGTATTCTTGATGATGATTTCTTAATAGTTTAGCTTTTCCTTCCGATCATTAAACCCCAACTACTTCTTTCTCATGATTTCTTTCAGTTATGTCTTCTTTTTCTATTTTGACGTCCCTTTGTCTACACGTTGTCTTTTCTATTATCTTTTCTCGGCTTTTTTTCCCCCCGTCTCTACAATGACATATTAACAATCTGACCGTTGACCTTCGTTCATCTTGCTTTCTCTCAGTCTCCGCTTTCCTTTTTCCTCTGTGGCTCACACCAATTCATCGATTTCTCTTGATGTTCCATTTTCTTCTTCTTTCAACAAATAAAACCACATTGGTTTGTTCACTGACACTGTCTTTTTTCCGACACGACATGAAAATCTTTTTCTTATTTTCCATCTCCACTGGTTCCTTATTTCGTTCATTGGAACCACTCCGAAGAACTTTAATTACTTTTCATTTTTCTTTAGCGTCCCTTTACGTTAACCCTCAATTTTGTTTGTTTGTTTGTTTCTTTTTTTCTTTCTTTTCATTTTTCATAGTTTTCTTTTTTTTTCTTAGCTGTCTTTTTTTCTTTCTTTCTCTTTTCTTTCTTTCTTTCTTTCTTTCTTTCTTTCTTTCTTTCTTTCTTTCTTTCTTTCTTTCTTTTCCATTACAATTGTTCTTCCTTTCTTTCTTTTCCATTGCAGTCGTTTTTTTTCCATTGCAATTTTTTTTTTTCTTTCTTTCTTTCATTGCAATAATTTTTCTTTCTTTCTTTTTTTTCCATTGCAATAATTTTCTTTCTTTCTTTCTTTTCTTTTTCTTTCTTTCTTTCTTTTCCATTGCAATAATTTTTTTTTTTTTTTCTTTCTTTCTTTTTCCATTGCAATAATTTTTTTTTCTTTCTTTCTTTCTTTTTAATTTTTCCATTTCTTTCTTTTCTTTCTTTCTTTCTTTCTTTTTTCCATTGCAATAATTTTTTTTTTCTTCTTTTCTTTTCTTTTCCATTGCAATAATTTTTTTCTTTTTTCTTTCTTTCTTTTTTTTTTTCTTTTCTTTTCTTTTTCCATTCCAATAATTTTTTTTCTTTTTTTTTCTTTTTTTTCCATTCCAATAATTTTTTTTTTAATTTTTTCTTTTTTTTTTCTTTCTTTCTTTTCCATTGCAATAATTTTTTTCTTTTTTTTTTTTTCTTTCTTTTTTCCATTGCAATAATTTTTTCTTTCTTTCTTTCTTTTCTTTCTTTCATTGCAATAATTTTTTTTTTTTTTTTTTTTTCTTTTCTTTTCCATTCCAATAATTTTTTTTTTCTTTCTTTTCTTTCTTTCTTTCTTTCTTTTTTCTTTCTTTTCCATTGCAATAATTTTTCATTCTTTCTTTTTTCTTTCTTTCTTTTTTTCCATTGCAATAATTTTCTTTTCTTCTTTCTTTTCCATTGCAATAATTTTTCTTTCTTTCTTTCTTTCTTTCTTTTCCATTGCAATAATTTTTTTCTTTCTTTCTTTCTTTCTTTTCCATTGCAATAATTTTTTCTTTCTTTCTTTCTTTCTTTCTTTCTTTTCCATTGCAATAATTTATCTTTCTTTCTTTCTTTCTTTCTTTCTTTCTTTTTTTCTTTCTTTCTTTCTTTTGTTCGTTCGTCCGTCCGTCCGTTCGTTCATTCATTCGTTCGTTCTTTCTCATTCAGCATTCGATGAAATCCGGTCTTCATTTTAACGGAAATTAAAAATAAAAAATAAAAAGTCAAAAAATATATTACAAAAATTATTAAAAATAAAGAAAAACTAAAACCCAACGCCAATAAGTAAATCGAATCGAAACAAATAATGATGACGATGAGACGAAGAATACGCAAAAGAAGAAGAAGAAGAATATAATGATGATGATGATGATGATGATTTTCAATGATTTATAAAAATGCAAATAAATGACTCGCGCTTAAATATTTTTTTTTTTTTTTGTATCAATACCATGAGAAAATATTATTGGCATTTTGATGAGATGGGGCCGGAGAAAAGGATCGTTTTGTAGATTCCATGTCTGGATGAATGCCACCCAAAAGGTAAATAACGACCTAAACACACACACACACACACACACACACACACACACACACACACACACACATATATATATATATATTAATAAATATACATTTTTTCCTCAGCTGTAGCACGACTCAAAGTTTCATGCAGTTCGCAATCTTCAGGTGCTTAGTAAAGGCTGTTATTCAGCTATTGCCGAGGAAAACATGTATATTTATTAATATATACTTAATAGTTTGTTATATTACATCGAGCACTATTTCATTAACACCGGCTCTCAATGTGATAATATATATATATATATATATATATATATATATATATATATATATATATATATATATATATATATATATACGTAGAGAAAGTTACTCTTCACTCACATGCTTTTTACAGAATGTAGGTGTATTAGGCCGATGAAAGAAAACCAAAAAGGAACGATAATAATAATAATAATAATAATAATAATAATAATAATAATAATAATGCAGTAGACTAATTGAAGAGATTCCTGGAAGTCCATGCCTCAAGAAGATACAAAAAATTGTTCTGACAACTACAGCCCACACTTTACGAAGGGCTTTATCTATGTAATTTTTTTTTTTTTTTTGTCAGTGGAAAGTGTCATGATGCCATTTCTAACCTTAGGTCCCTGGACAGGACCCGGAAAGAAATGTGTAAACGTCAGAAATCAAAGAAAATAAAAATAATAATAATAATGATGAGAAGAAGAAGAAGAAGAAGAAGAAGAAGAAGAAGAAGAAGAAGAAGACAGAATGCAAGTAAATCACCCAGATATTATTATCAAAGACAGAAAAGATCAAAATTTGCGCACTGATTGACATAAGCGTACCAAGTGACGAAAACACTTCTGTAAAAGTTTTTTGAAAGACTTAGCAAGAACCTAGAGAAGGAAATAGAAAATGGTGGTACATAAAAACTAAAACTGTTACTGTTCGATCTTATGGAACTCCATCATTCTGTTCCTTTTCCCGGGCCCGGAAGTTAGTAATTTGCTTACTTACCATCCTTATGCATTTTAAGGTTAAACAGGTCGGTAGATTCTGAATATTTTTTTTCAGATTGTGTACATAAAGATGTTTGTCGAAATTACAATCGTTTGTAATAGAATGTTCTGCAAGCTCCGTTGATAATACATTATTTTGTCTGACAACATACTTGTGTCCAGCGAATCTCTTATTTAATTTTTTCGTTGTGTAACCCACATAAATCAAGACAAATCTGGCATATTGGGCGGCGTATATTAAATGGGAATCAAACTTTGTAGAAATGGGGATGTTTCTCTTTGAATTTGTTATAGAATTAATTTGACATGTTGTTGGAAACGCACAGGGTTTTCCACTTTTATCCGTGATTTTGGGAGTGCAACGATCCGAAATTCCAATGTTGTTTTGAGTGTAGGTTCTGTTCAATTATTTCCTCTTAGTAACTAATCAACTAACGGAAAATTTCAAGATGAAAGCCTTTCCGAAAATTCCGATTTTTAACACTTTTCTCATCAGGCTTCTATTTTGTCTGTTGGAATAATAATAATAATAATAATAATAATAATAATAATAATACCTGCAAACTGTTATGTCTGTTTGAAACTATACAAGGACCTTGAAATGGAAATGTAAAAAATGTGGCACATGAGGACATCGATGATACCAGTTGTAGTTGGAGCCCTCGGACTGATTGGAAAAGGTTTCGATAGACTCATTGAAGGGATTCCTGGTAGGCCTTACCTTAAAGAAATACAAAACATTATACTCTCAAGTACAGCCCACACCTTACGAAGGTCTTTATTTATGTAAAATGTGTGTGATCTTAGTTTTTTTTGCCTCAAAACGGCTCATTGGAAAATGTCATGATGTCATGATGTCATTTCTGAACTTGGGTCTCTGGTTTGGACTAGGAAAGAAAAGAATATACACTAGAAATCAAAGGAAATAAAATAAAAATAATTATTATTATATCCTTTTAATTTTCTTACTTTTGAATAATTGTTGATATTATTATTAATATTATTATTATTATTATTAGTAGTAGTAGTAGTAGTATTAGTATTATCTAGTCTATTTGAATTTCTTTTATCGGCCTATATATATATATAATTTTATAATTTAAAAAACAGTTTAGAATTTAAAAAAACAGGATCATGAAATTCAACGAGTGATTAGTGGGTCAATGCATCTTTAAAATTTTGTTAGCGAAGAGATTTCGCCATTTTATATCATTAACTTTACTAATTTACTTTTTGTATGAATGATTCATTGTAATACACACATACAAAAATACGCACATATATATATATATATATATATATATATATATATATATATATATATATATATATAAATTTTTTCATCATTAAACTTGAGCGAGTTCACACACGCACACACCCTTTTGTATATATCGCTCAAGTTTAATGATGAAAAAATATTTTTGTTTTCGGTATTAACTTCACTGAACTAAATATTTAGTTTTTTTTGTTATTTTATAGGCAGTCATCTTTTAAGTAAAAAAATCATATTTCCATCCTCCTAGTTTGTTAATATATATATATATATATATATATATATATATATATATATATATATATATATATATCCTTCTGCCATTTTTTTAATATTCCAGCGAAAGGAGGTTTTCATTCAGATTATTCTGTAAAGACTGGATCATTTGGGTTTCTGGAAATAATCCACGGTGGAAACTCCCTTTCAATCCTGCCATATATACAGAACCCATCTGGTATAAAAAAAAACTGAGATATATAAAGGAGAGGAAATTGTGGAGAGCCATGATCACCAACATTCTGAAGGAACACTAAGGAAGATAGAAGACTAATTTTGCAATTAGCGCGTCATCAATACATATTATTTTTTGCTATTGATATTATCCTTTTTTTCATTTTATAATATTCTTGTCCAAATCAGAAATCAATTAGTAGAACTTGTTTCCGTAAATCATTATCATTTAAAAACAAAATTCTTAAATCTATGAATATTTTCTGGCTTTGAATGAACACAACTCAAATGGAATAATAATTATAAAATAATTTTGTCGGTCCCAGCACTTTTTTGAATCTGGAATCCATCGTCATATTCCGCACACAACCACTGTCATCAGTCCCATACAATTGAAACCATGACTCATGAGCGATATAACGAGCTCAGATGAAACCTTCTGCCCGATGACGCGGTGTTAACAGAGCCACCCTAGTGTATCTTCTGTTCCCATAGCCCATGCAAGATAAAGAATCTTAAATTGACCTGCTGGATATGCAACCTGCATTAACTATGTATGTGATTTAAGCGAATTTCGTACGTCTGTTAACAGAGCCAATTCTAAATAGAAATCTCTAGTCAGCCGTGGTCGGACAATGCGCTCTCCTCAGGGGACGGTAATGCCTTCCATCAGTTATTCGCGGTACGCATTTGATACCCAAGATTGAGAAATATCAAACATCCTTATAATTTCAGAAATGAAATATCCCATCCGTCACTTACTCACAATCATACCCCGATTGTAATGCGATAATTCGCGCTGATTTCTCCAGAGATGACAAACCGGTATTCACTCTGACTCGCCAGAATTCAGAACGTTATTGATATAAGACTGGGCCTTTTCATGATATCAAGATATGATTGTACCACCTATG